ACAGTCATAATATTCTTGTGTGTCTTGCTTACAAAAATGTTTGAGATGCTGTAAGTCATTATACTTTAATAAGGAATGAGGTATAGGCACTCTATTTAAAGGCTGAAGGGGCGCCAACAATATTTTCCGCTTTTTAACTGGTTTTGTGACAACATCATCAGAGAATTGCCCGTTCCAGCTCTCTCTTAAAAGTATTTTGTTTGGAAGGTTGTTAGAGAGTACAACCTTTCGAGATGTCTGGGTTTTAGTCAGGGAAGTTGCTACAAAGAAAGGTGTAATGTGTTTTTCTATATTTAGCAACATGGTGTATTTTACTAGAACTACGTGAAAAGGAGAAGGGTTTTTTCTGGCATTCTTAAAGTGTTCTAGCCAGCTAGCTGGTGAGTCTATATGAAACTTTTGATTAATCAGAATCATATCTCGATCACACTCCATATAAGAATGTCCTCTAATGGGAAAAGAAAGTTTGATTTTTTCAAATCTGTTTTTCTGGTGGACCATGTATTGCAAAAATCTCAGCATAATCCAATTTTTGTTCTGTCCGAGACACGAATCACAGAGGGGTTGAAGATAAGTGACTTCTGAAGGCATTATTTTAGTAAAATGGTGCAGCAATATTGATGCTATATCATTAGAAGCTTTTTCCTCAACTGTCTCTTTCTACGAAAAAAGGGAAACTTCATTAGTTCCAAGGTTACGAATGTTAAAAGTGTACCGAGAAAGTTTTCTTCTATAATATGTGTTATTGGTTGTTATATTAGGACAAGGTAGATTCTTCCAAAAATCAAAGGCAACTGCAGCAAACCAGGTTAAAGAGTGTGCTCCATGTATAGAAGCAGTCTTTCTTTCATAAAATACTTGTCCTTTTCTCCAGTGAAGCTCTCGATCAACTGAAATATTTTGAAGTTCGGGTTGAGAGTGACATTTTGAAAACTCTATTTTAAATCTATCACATGCTGAACAAGTGTCTTTCCTCCTGTACCCAAAAGTAATGTTAAATTTCTTATTAAAGACTCGTCTATATAAAAAAAAATACTTGTAAAACTTTGCTCATTATAAAAAAAAAAATCACCATGAATAATGAAAAATTTTTAAATAAAATTTTTAAATAAAATAGTATATTTTTAATGCTATAACAAATTGATTACTAACTTTTTATCTACTGAAAGTGAAACAAAGCAAACAAACCTGTAACTTTTTCTGGAACATGATTCACCAGGGTGGCTTTCTACCCAGTAAGCACAAGACGCATTTTAGACACTTATAGACGTCTAAAACTAGTCTAGGTAAGGACGCACTTTTATAGACGTTTTGAAGACATCTTTCAGACGTCTTTTATGAATGCGTTTTTAAAATGACGTTTAAAAGGCGTCTTTTTAAAGTTAAAAAAGACGTTTAAAAGACGCATAATAAATAGTCTAAAAGACGCATTGAAAGACGTCTAGATCAAGGCTAAAAGACGTCTTTTCTGAGACCTGTTTATAAATATGTCATTATGACTTCTTTTTGACGGCTTTGTCATTACGCGTTAAGTAGATGTCGTATATTCAAAGTAAAAACATAGTTTTTATTATTTTCAATAATTTGTTTAAGTTTTAAGTGTAAATTACTTTAAATTAAATTACTTTTTTACACAATTGCTAAAATTGTTTTCACAGGAATCACTAAAATAATTGCTATAATATTAATATATCTTTTTTTTATTAATAATTATTTTGCTTTTTTAATAGATAGTTGACTGATCATGATAATAAGTGAAAATGGCAAGAATAATATATAAGTTAAATATCAGTATTTTTAGTTTTTATACACCCACAAGCCATATAATAAGTCAAGTATGCGGTCAAAAATTAGCTAGCAATACGTATGATAAATTTTATACGTATGATAAATTTTATTATAACTAAAGGTAAGTTATAAATGTTTTAAATACTGTTTTGATATATATTATTTTCATCCTTGATGCATCAACCGTTCGTGGTGATTACAGCAATATTATTTTGATTGCTGGTTCCTATGTATATTTTGTATATACGAAATTATAACAATATATGATTTTATAAATACAATGAATATATACCACATACTACGCAAAAATGTTACGTCATGTACTTAAATTTATTTTGAAAAAAACGTCTAAAATACGTCTAAAACGCGTATTTATAAAGACGTCTTCATTTAGACGTCTTTTAGCCTTATGATCTAGACGTCTACAAGTGCGCCTTTTAGACCTTTTTAAAGACATCTTTAAAACGTCTTTTAAACGTCTTTGTGCTTACTGGGTAAGTACATTGAATTGATCTGGGTAAGATTTAAATTTTCTGGAAGGTACAGTTTCCTAGAATCTTTGAGAGAATAATGAGACCTTTGTCCTCTAAAAGATCAAATATAATTTATAATACTTTCATTTTTCTCTTGTTTAAATTTGTGAGGTTGATTTATATGTTTTCTTCTTTGGTCTTTGGGTGGCATTCCTGTAAATAAAATAAATATGTTCTAC